GTGATGAGACGCAAAAGCAAGATCTGTAGTTGGGTTTTGATCTATCTATATTACTTTCATTTTTACTTGTGAAGAACGTTTCCATATTCATCTTGTATTTATTTGGTATTTCCTTTTACACTTAGGACTCCATTGAATTATTTGGGTCTTTCAATACGTATAAATATAGTAAATAAGTGAAAATCTCAATTTGTGTTAGGGTTACGTGTTTCAATCGAGAGACATGGTGATTCCCAACGTGAAGACCTTGTCGATCGATAGTGCAACCACCATCTCCGCCTTCGAGAAATTGGTACACGAACGCACTCATCTTCCTCATTCGTGACCCTCTCCGTCTCCGAAACCCTAGCCTTAATTCCGATTTATCTGATCTAGGTTTTGTTCCTTGGTCTACACTAGTTCTTCATGTCCCTCTAATCGGTGGAGCTGCTCCGCCTCAGACCCGCTTCGAACTATGTCGCTGGTTTAGGCCGTGGGGCTACAGGGTTTACCACACGCTCCGATATTGGTCCTGCTCCGTGTACTCGCAGATCAGGAGAATCACAAGTTTGATGAGTTTGAAGGCAATGATGCTGGATTGTTCGTTAATGCGGAGTTTGATGATGAGGACAAAGAGGCTGATGAGATTTGGGAAGCCATTGATAGGAGGATGGATTCGAGGAGGAAAGACCGTAGAGAAGCTAAGCTCAAGGAAGAAATCAAGAATTACAGAGCAAAAAACCCTAAAATCAAGTTGCAAGATTTGTCTGCTGATGAATGGCCTAGTATATATTCCTGAGATTGGAGATTACTCGCATCGGAACAAGAAGAAGAGGTTTTGAGAGCTTTTCGACAAGGTGAGGCAGGAAAAATCTCTTGTCTTGTCCTTAGACCCAACAAGCAGAGCTGCTGGTGGGTCGGAGACGCCATGGACGGACCTGACTACGGTCGGTGAAGGAAGAGGCACTGTGTTGTCTCTGAAGCTTGATAAGTTATCAGATTCAATTTCAAGGGGAATAAAGCAAATTCCCTGCTCGGTGAAGCTATGGTTGGAGGCTGCAAAGTTGGAGCATGATGAGGAGAAGAAGAGTAGGGTATTGAGGAAAGGACTAGAGCATGTTCCGGACTCGGTAAGGTTATGGAAGACTCTTGTGGACTTGGCTAATGAGGAAGATGCAATTGTTTTGCTTCACAGGGCTGTGGAATGCTGCCCTTTGAGTCCAGAGCTATGGATTGCGCTTGCAATGCTTGAAACATACGAAGAAGCAAAGAGAGTGTTGAATAAAGCAAGAGAGAAGCTCCCGAAAGAGCGTGGGATTTGGATTACCGCTGCTAAGCTAGAGGAAGCTAATGGGAACAGTGCTAATGTGAGAAAGATCATTGAGAAGGGTATAAATGCTTTAAAGAGAGAAGGCGTTGTCATTGACCGGGAAAAGTGGATGGAGGAGGCTGAGGCCTCCGAGAGAGCCGGTTCTGTCGCAACTTGCAAAGCAGTTGTTGAGAACATTATTGGTTTTGAAGTTGATGAAGAGGATAGGAAGAGAACTTGGGTTGCTGATGCAGAGGAGTGCCTGAAGAGGGGTTCAATAGAGACCGCAAGAGCGATATACGCACATGCTCTTACCGTGTTCTTGACTAAGAAAAGTATCTGGCTTAAAGCGGCGCATCTTGAGAAGAGCCATGGGAGTAGGGAGTCTCTCGATGCCGTGTTGCGTAAGGCTGTGACATACCTCCCTCAGAATGAAGTTCTCTGGCTAATGGGTGCCAAGGAGAAGTGGCTTGCTGGAGATGTTCAAGCAGCTCGTTGTATTCTACAAGAGACTCATGCTCCGAAGGAATCTGGCTTGCGGCTTTCAAGCTCGAGTTTGAGAACAAGGAGGTGGAGCGGGCGAGGATGATTCTCGCGAAAGCAAGGGAAAAAGGAACTACAGGGAGGATGTGGATGAAATCAGCCATTGTTGAGAGGGAGCTAGGCACCGTAGAGGAAGAGAGGAGACTGCTTAAAGAAGGCGTGAAGCAATTCCCATCATTTTTCAAGCTTTGGTTGATGCTTGGACAGCTCGAGGAACGGTCAAAGCATCCGGAACAAGCCAAGAACGCTTATTCATCTGGTTTGAAGCACTGTCCCGAGTGCATACCATTGTCGCTCTCACTCGCTGATCTTGAAGAGAAAGTGAATGGGCTCAACAAAGCCCGGGTAGTTCTCACGAATGCTAGGAATAAGAATCCTAAGGCAGAGGAGCTCTGGCTAGCTGCTATTCGAGCTGAACTGAGACATGGCAACAAGAAAGAAGCAGAGCGGTTGATGTCAAAGGACCTTCAAGTGTCTCCTCAAAGTGGTATCCTCTTGGCTGCTGACATCGAGATGGCGCCTCCATGTCCTCTCCCGAAAACGAAAATTAAGGATGCTTTGAAGAACTGTGTGAAGGGGGGACATCTCCATGCAGCGGTCGCCAAGATCTTGACAGGAAGGTAGATAAAGCCAGAAAATGGTTTGAACGGACCGTGACCCTCGACCGGGATATTGGCGATTTCTGGGCCTTGTACTACAAATTTGAACTTGAACATGGCTCTAAGGAGAAGCAGAAGGAGGTGATGATCAAATGTGTAGCGTCTGAGCCAAAGCACGGTGAGAAGTGGCAAGCCATCTCCAAAGCGGTGGAGAATGCATACGAGCCTGTTGAAGTCATCTTGAAGCGAGTTGCGATTGCATTGAGCAGGGAAGAGCATAACAAACTCTAAATCTTTCTTCTTCATTATGTTTTTTTTTCATGATCAAGAGCACATTTGCAACTTTGCTTGTTGTTTTCTCTTTGCAGGCTCTCAACATTTCACCCTTGATGATGTTTTCTCAGTCACTTTTGTGAGTTTCTTTTCTACGTTTAGTGATCTGATGCTATTATAACTCTTGTTTTTGTTCGTTTATTGCTCTGTTTATTTGTCGTTCCTTGCATGCATTAGTAGAGGTCTTCAGGTAAACATTTTGGCCTTATGCATTCTTCCTTTAACGCCAAAACCAACAAGTTTTTTGCTAGCTTGGGACAGTGCCTTTTGCCTTTCTATGCAACACTTTGCTTCTTTATGGACTAACTTCTGAAACGAAGACGAGTTCTTGTTCAAAAGCTCCTCCAGAAACGAAATTGTGTCTTACAGACTTACAGTTGGTACGATAGATTGAGCCTGCGATGATGAAAGGAAAATGATGATTTAGCATTTCACCAAAATTGGCTGATTCCTAAAGGCTAAATTGCTTTAGCAAACAATAAGCTTATACTTACCAATTGTTTCACAGTTCTTGGAACAATAGTGTGTAATAATAATACATCAGTATTTTTATTAACCAAATTATTTATACTTGTCAATTGTTTCGCAGTCTTTGGTCGAATTTTAATCTTAATGATCTTATCAATTATTCAACCTATAATTTTTTTCTTTTTACAATGATATTTACCATCGAGTATTATCATAAGAAAATTCAAGTTACTATGGCAAAAAACCAACACAGCGAAAATATTGAAGCTAACTTTTATAACTCATCGTTTAACATTCAAAGTGCCTGTCCATATTCTAGAATCGACCTTGAGTTTCCATAGTTTTTGACAGACCAAATAAAATGATCTTTTAAAGATAAATTTCTAAAAGAAGAAGGGAGGAAGATAGAGTAAGCCTATCATCTTTCTTTATCTACACAATAATAGCTTTCTTTCTGCAGAGACAAACCACTAGAAAGCTTCAGACGACAGATTCTGTGTATCCATTACAAGTCTCTGTGGTTCAACAACAGTCGCCTGGCTTTCCGGGGCGTCTTGGGATTTTGTCGGATCATA